AAGGCCTGCAACCAAGACTGCTCTACCCAGCAAGGCTCTCAATTGAAATGGAAGGCAAAATAAGGAGTTTCCCAAACAAAAGAAGGCTGAAAGAATGCACCTCCACCAAACCAGCACTGCAAAATATGCTAAAGGGACTGCTTTAAGATGAAGAAAAAGTTTCTATGAATACCCAGTTCCTTTCAGAGTTGCCAATACTTGATATTACCAATATTTTTAATACTCATTAATCTGATTGTGACAGTGATATTAATTGTTCCTTCATTATTTGCTGAAACTGAACCTGTTTTAGTATATTTCTTGCTTATTTCTATTATTTCTTTTTAAAAAAGCTTTCAATGACTTTTTGGTATTCTTTATCCATTTATTGATTTAAGGTTTGTAGAACTTTTTTCCCTAAAAAAAAAAACAAAACTATTAACCACGTTTTAGATGTGTTTCAAATACTTTTCTCTTATATTCCTTGTCCCTTACCTTTTTTTTATATGTATATTACTATAAAATTAAATGTTTAATATAGTCATATTTTCAATATTTACTTTATAACTTCTGGGTTTGAATATTTTATTTCAGATCATCAAAAATATTAGTTCTATTTTCTTCTAAAACTCCTTAGATTCTACATATTGATTTTTAACTCACGTGACTATTTCTTGTATAAGGTGTGAAACAGGGCTCTATATGTGTTTTATTTCAAATAATAGTGGTTCATGCACCTTATTTGTTGAATAAGCCTTATTTTACCCATTGATTTGAAATATCAACTTAATCATATATTATATTGTTAGACAGATATATATGTTTGTTTCTAGAATGCTCATTATATTTCATTGATCTACTTGATTATTTCTGTGCTGATGTCATGTTGGTTTAATTGCTGAGACTTTATAATGGTTTTAATATTTTTAAATATTTTGTAATTAACTTTGATATTAAAAAGGAAATAAAGTTGTGGTAGTTTTCACCCTCCCTGAAGATTGATTGACTCTATAGACAGCCATCAACCTAATGAATTCAAAAACAGACAAAGCCTTCAGTTTAATTCTATCAAATCATGGCTTTGAAGTGAAACATCAATGAGATACAGTTCTATGATTAACTGGCCATGTATGTACGGTTCTTTTGGAGCAGTCACCTTTTGGGGTATCAGGGAGGCTCTATGTAAGAAAACTGTATGTTCTTCCCTTGTTTTGATCCTAAAGTGGTTTTAAAAATAACACATTACCTGCAATAAACACCTTAAACTTGTCTGTATTTAGAGTTTTGGTATCAAAAACTATAAAAATTCATGTTATTTGATGTAGGATTTCCATTCTTAAAGACCTATGAAAAGGATAGACAAAGAAATTTTCACTGCCTTTTTATTTACAAGAGAAAAAAAGTACTTTAAAGCCAAATAACAAGAGAATGGTTAAATAAATTATGATGTGTTTACAATAAAAATGCAATTAGACTGAAGTGCATATCACAAGAAAAATCTCAGGGAAGATGCTTGAAAGGGATTAAATCATGCATTGTTTTATCTGTGTCTAATATTTTCTTATTAATCTTTAAATATTATCTTGTAGATGAAAATTTATACCCAAATATCAAGAAGTGATTTCTTTCTCAAGTATCATATGAGTGAAGAGAAACTTAAATTATTAGGAATCATTCAAATTTGAGGAAAAAATGCTCCATTTGTATGGCAATATTAGTTCCTGTGAAAACAACAAATTTCATCAACTGGCCTGACGGTGACTTCCTCTGGAGCAGAGCAAAGCAGCATGTCAGAGGACAGTAAACCTCGACTTGCTGGGGGAAGGGCACTTCTGTGCCTTTTGGGAGATATTCCGCCACACTGAAGCCTCTAAAACAAAAATCCAACTGTTTGAGGAGTAACAGAAATAAGGTGATCATTCCCTTTTCTATCTCTTCATAGCATCAGTGTGACAAATATCTTAGAGTGAAAATAACTCTGAATTGCCATAGGCAGCCAGGTGAGAGGACAGACACAGTATGGCTCTAGTTTAAGGGCAGATGAACAAGTGAAAGGGTTTAGCACAAAATCTTTTCTTTTTACCTGATGCTGAGCTTCCCATTTAAAAAAAAAAAATTATATCAATGACTAGAATTCAGAATGATATAACACCCCTGGAAACTATTCTAATATTTCTTTATGAGAGAAGCACTTAGAAAATACAGAATTGAGAATTAAATAAATACTATTTATGGATGAACATAGAGGCTCTAACTATATATTATACTTAATGATATAGAATTCTTGAATTTTATATCCAAAAAGGCCAATAAAAGTAATCTAGTCCAAATCCTCTGTCTCTGCATGCAGAACTGGGAGGCTGGGAAGACAGAGGTAAAAAAATACAGAGACTGGACTGGTGGTTGCCAAAGAAAAGGAGCATTCAGGACTATATGAAAGAAGTGAATGTATTAAGAAGTACAAATTGGTAGTTACAAAATGCTCACAAGGATGTAAAGTAAAACATAGAGAATTTAGTCAGTAATATTGCTATAATAATGTATGGGGCTAGTTGGGCATGGAAATACCGAGGGGAAACACCATGTAAAGTATATGATTTAGTCACTAAGCTAAATAGGGCTAGCAGCTGACTTCTCAGCAGAAACCCTGCAAGCCAGAAGGGAATGGCAAGAAATATTTCAAGTAATGAAAAGCAAAGGCCTGCAACCAAGACTGCTCTACCCAGCAAATCTGAAACCGATACAAATAAAATCAGAAAAAAAGAAAGAAAGAACAGCTTTTCCCATTCTAGAAGTTCACGAATGAGACCTGCCTGAGGTACTCAGGTATCCTAACCCTTCAAATGAATTCGCACATATAAATGTATGTTTATATAGTTTCAAAATGTAAATGTTAAAAGTATAATTTTAAATATTTTCAGTTACTATAACATTGTCTCCTGATAAAAAATCAGTTAAGACTCTGCTATCTCCCAGAGTTCATAGTGATTTAGATAGTGTATCAGTCTCCAGGGTCTGATGCCCCTAGGTCTTATTAAAAGTGACCTTCTGGACTTCAAAATAACCACATAAATCCTGCCTGAATTCCTCTAGCTTATCTGTGGATAGTATATAGTATCCTAACTTCATTAAGTAAATGGAACTGGGAAGGTTCTCCTGAAAATCTAATTGAGTTTAATCTTGTGGCACCTATGGTTGAATGAAACAAAGGATATTTTTTAAAAAATATTTCATTTACTTATTTTTAGAGAGAAGGAAAGGGAGGAATAAAGAAAGGGAGAGAAACATCAATCAATTGCCTCTCCTATGCACCCCAACAGAGAACTGAACCCACAACCCAGGTATGTGCCCTGACCAGGAATAAAACCAGCGACATTTTGCTTTGTGGAATGATGTCCAGCCAACTGAGCCCAATGGATCAGGGTGAAACAATGGAATTAGTACTTGGTAAGATATTCTTAAAATACACATACAAACACACACATTTCCAAATACCTTGTTTATACAATGAAACAGATGTGTAATAACATATCTTGTGTTTTTAGGTATTTAGAAAAAATCAGAGAAACAACTTTCTAAGGTGTACCACATCAAGAAAAACATTCTAGAATCATTTTATAAAACAAATGCCAGGCCTTGGCTGGTGTAGCTGAGTGGATTGAGTACCGGCCTGTGAACCAAAGGGTCACGGGTTCGATTCCCAGTCAGGACACATGCCTGGGCTGCAGGCCAGGTCCCCAGTAGGGGGCGCACAAGAGGCAACCATGCATTGATGTTTTCTCTCCCTCCCTCCCTTCCCCTCTCTAAAAATCAATCAATCAATCAATCTCTAAAGAAAAACAAAACCCACAAATGCCAGGAATTGCAAAATGAAATCAATACTATTTCCTGATGGATTTTAATGTTCAAATCAATCAATAGTGTATGCATATGCATGACTTTTATGTAAGAAAATAAATGATATTTCCATCAAAACCTTCCCCTTAGCTAGTGTGCCAATGGAACGACTACCAGGAAGAAGAAAGGCAAGGACAGCTCTTTTAATGTGTATTAATTAGCAATGTACATAAATGAAGGCTTTTCCCTTACAAAACTCTCCCTCAGCACAGCTTTGTTGGTATGAGAGAATTAAAGGAACACAGCAAAAAATACACACACACACACACACACACACAACTGCTTCATAAGTCCTTACTGTGATCATTCCACCCTATTCTTTCTTACTTATGCTAAATAACTCTAACATTAATGGAAGGTTACTGTAAGTTTGTGGGTTATGTATCGCTTCTTAATAGCAACCAAAATGATGCATGGATGACGTTCGTGAGTGATAGCTAAAAAGGAAAATATATATAAATTGATGATAACTAAGACTGCTACACTGCTGTACCATATCAGTGTGCTAACCAACCAAGAAGTGGCACTGATAAACAAAGTGTATGAGAAAGCGGAATCTGTATTAACTTCACTCCTGACATCATCACTAGTTTAAACTCATTTTTACAGTATATTGAAAAACATCAATCTTGGATTTACAATTAATAGGGAAAAAAATAATAGTAAACTAAATTATACACACATTAAATACTTATTTATCCAATAACCTGTTATTTTTACCATATCAAAATTTTTTCATCATTTATTGTAGTTAAAATGGCAAATGCTTTATATAAAGAATATAAACAAATTTAATAAATATTATTCGATCAAAATATTTAAAAATTTATAAATTTGAGATATTTAGTTAGCAACCTATAGCATATAATTTTCAAAATACTGCCAAGCACTAAGAGGCAACTGAATGGTATTTCTTTGTATTAATTGTTTATTTCAAAGTTTATATTTGGTGCTTTAAAAAAAAGAACTGTCTTTTTTCTATGTTATCAAATCATACCAGAATATCTTAACAAAGGTATAACAACAAAAAAGTATATAAAAATATCTTATTCAGATAGTCTACACAATTTAAATTATGATAAAAGTTCAGAAATACTAGATTTTTTTGGACATTTCTTACTTACCTGTTTGTGAGCATGGTCATATGAATTAATGTGATTGTCAAATTCCTGATGCTTATAATACTGCTTGTCACAGAGTTCACAGTAAAAATTGGCCTTCAGATCTTCTAGAGCTTTTGCTATGGTGTTCTCCTTCTCAGCATAATCCTTAAAAGAAATTTCAAATAAGGAAGCAATTAGCTCTCCCCTGAGTTTACTTTGTTTTGATGGTTGTCAACTAGTATAATAATTAGAGTAGGAAACAGAATTTAACAGACAACCAGAACAATGAAGCAAATAGCAATAAACCAAGTTGAAAGAAATTATGAGTTAAAGAAAATAAAAGATTAATAGAAGTAGCCAAAATAAATGACGAAAAAAAAATAGAGGAGCTGTCAAGAAGAAAAACAAACCATAGAAAAAATAGAAGCCCTTATTTGAACAAGTTGCTATGTTATAATAGCATAGGAAAAATACAAATTATATAGGTATGTTGATTCAACTGTCAGTTTCTAGCAATAGTTTAGTTAACATAAAACTTCTAAACTCTGAATGAATATAAAATGTGTCTTCTTTGACAAAGTCCATATGAGTACATCAATATTCAAGTTTGGTATTTTTGTTTGCTTGTTTGGTTCCTTAAATGTCTACATAGTAACATATTCATCACAACTAGATTTCATTTGACTGTTTTCATCTTGATTCATAACAATTTAGATTGAACTTTCAAATATTCTCTAGCTGTGAAAAAATAAGATTCTTTTCTGCAAGTGCTTTACCTAAACTGAAAAAGATTAAACTGTATAAGCAGATTGCTTTCATCATAAATAAAGATGGATATAGTATAATCAAACTCCGGAAAAGAGGAAATATGTAGCTTTCATTTACAAAGCATAAAATAGCAAAATGTTTGGCTGTGGTTTTTAAGTTTTCTTAAATCTAAATTTACTTTCTATTTTATGCCTCTTTAAAATTTAACATTGTCAAATATGAATAAATTTTACAGGTTGAAACACTGTCCAAGTTTTTCACTGCAATGCCAATATGCAGAAGACCTAAACTTCAACCCCTACCATAGAACATGTCACATTTCTAATTTATGTATTTTCTCATACTTAACCCATATAAAATCCAAAATAACTGTATATCCAGGCTTCTTATATGTTTCTATAAGACACTCTCTCAGTCACTTGGATGAGGTGAAATAACATAGCCCTCTCTGTGTCAACGACAATTGTCCTTTTACCAATTATAGAGACTAAAAATAACTCATAGTTTGTGCAAATTACTTCTAGAAAATTTAAAAGTGGTTTACTAACTGTAGTTCAATGAATGACAAATACTTGCTTTACATTATTGTACTATATGTTGGTGTATACATCCCATAGCATAATCTTCATCATGATTTGTTTGTATACCTTGTAGCATACCTTGTAGTAATGATAAATACACCTGCCATAATCTGTAAACACATTGCCCAGTTTCTCAATTTAAAGACAGAAATCTATTGTTATGTTTTACTAGTTTTATCAACTGCATAGTGAGGCAATAAAATGCAACATCACTCAAATTGTTACATGATTCCATTAATTTCAATAATTAATTTACCATGTTTCAGCAGATTTGTGGAATATTCTCTATTTTAGATGATTTCCAATATATTAAAAAGGTTGTTTTAAAAATATGAAAAGGAGTCGTATACATATAAACTGCTTAAGTCGTATACATATAAACTGAATTTTACAAAATCTTCAAAATATTATTTTGTGGATTAGCCAATTTAAATGAAACAAAAATTAAGTATTAAGATTTCATGGCTAAAATGTGCAAAGCAGAGATAAAATTCCAGTCAATATGAGTAATAATGGCAACAAATTTTTCTTCAAAGCTGACTTAGCTCCCGAAACAATATTCTTGAATTGCAATTTCTTCACAACTTGTAGATTTTCCCCATTAATTATAATCAAAGTTAAGCTACTTCCTTTCTTTAAATATTTGGTTATTGCTTATTATGGTTTAAGTTTATTTTTCTTCCTAAGATTGATATTCCTCTAGAGAAGCAAAAATTGTTTCCTGAGGCAATCTTCGAGTAAAGCAAATTGACATTTTTAGGTAAAGTACATTCTTCATAAATATTAGCCTCATCCTAGATTTGAAAAGAAAAACAAATCTGAAAATAATGGCTATCATTTATTCAGGGCTTGTTTAGGGTCAGTCATTGAGTAAGAGTTTGGATGCATTTACTCATTTACTCCTGACTAAAATACAGCAATGTTTACTCTAGACATCGTTCTCATTTTACAGGTGTTTAAGCTGAATAATCTGCTCTGTAGCATTACCTTACATTTAAAATTTAAAGCACATAAAAGTAGAGAGAACAGTATAATAACCACTCAGGTACAACAGTTATCAACTCCAGGGCAATCTTTTATCTTATCCTAGTCTGTCTCACACTCTTTCCTGCCCCAGATAAATTTTAAAGAAATTCCCAAGTTATCTGTAAATCTTTCAGTATGTATCTTCAAAATAGGTCTTTTTAAACACATGACAAAATCTGTAAACCAATATTAGACCTAAACAAACAAATAAAAACAACAAAGAACATTAATCATTCCTTGATATCATAAGAAATCCAGGTACTGTGTTCAAATAACTACAATTATGTAATATTTTAAACTAGTCTGTTCAAAACAGGATTGAAATAAGGACAGTATATTACCATCATCTGAAGTTTTTTAATCTCTTTTATTCCATAGGTCTTCTCTATTTTTGTTTTATTTCTTATTAAAATTTATTTTCCAGAAAATATTTGTTATACTTCACATTTTGAAAAAAAATTTCAGAAGTACAGAAATATTGCAAAATTATTACAAACTTATACAACTTTCACAAATAAACTCATTGTTAACATTTGACACCTGTTTGTTCTCTTGCTCTTTATATTTTTCTAAGATATTAAAAGAAACATAGTCTAGTGGAAGCATAGATTGTAATAGATTACAGAGTAAAAAACATGTTTAGGTTAGAACTTTCAAGTTGATATGAACTGCAATTAAGGAGACAGGGCTGTATTCTAGGAAATGTCAGTGGCAGAAAAGGGACTGGTTATTGTACTTGTATAATAACCACTGTACTTGCAAAAGACATATATATTGTCATCGATTATACATTTTTTTAAGATTTTATTTATTTATTTTTAGAGAAAGGGATGGAGAAATAGAAGGAAATATCAGTATGTGGTTGCCTCTCACCTGCCCCCAACTGAAGACCTGGCCTGCAACCCAGGCATGTGCCCTGTCTGGGAATCGAGCCAGCAACCCTTTGGTTTGCAGGCTGGCTCTCAATCCACGGAGCCACACCAGCCAGGGCTGATTATACGTTGTTTTAAATGTATGTAAACAAAATCAGCTCTCGTTAGACTGACATGTCCCGATGTCCCTTGGCCCTTTTTCTTCCCCATTGTGATAATATTGGAAGAGGCACTGACTGACATTATAAAGCACAATAATACATATTCTCCACAGCCACCCCACTGCAGAAGGTAAGAAAACACATTTGAATAAGATGAAAGAGGAGCATAGCTGCTCATATATGTCAACCCCAAGTTTCCCCTCCTCTTTCTGGAAAAGCCATTTTGTTCAACTATGTACACAAAATTTCTCTAATGTCTCATTGAGTGGGAATGACAAAAAGTGAAGGAAAACGGGACAGCTGCTTGTGGCTTATCAGATCATCCAAACCCATCACACTTCATATATATCTATAAGCAGTTAAGTTGGAATCCTTGCTTTAAGGAAAGCAACACACAACTCCAAAGTTATCAGGTCATGAATTTTTCAATAGAAAGCATTTGCAATTGTGCAGGACATTTTTTTTTTTTTTTTTTGCAAATCAGCAAATTGAAACATAAAATTTAATGGTTTATCCATAATTTCAGGGCCATTCAATCCGCCCCATATTAAAAAAGAAATAGCAACAAAGTAGGACTTTGAAGGGAGAGAAATATTTCATAATAACATCTCTCATGATGGCTTTAGCAGAACATATGGTATGAAATGATATTCAGTCTCTCACAAAAGACACCCATAACTTGGGGCACTGGAATAACCTTCCCTGAGGAATGTAAGCTCTATGAGAGCAGGAGTTTGTACCTGTTCTGTTTACTGCTGTATCTCCAGAGTTTTTAATACAGTGCAGCATTGACAGACACTCAACACAAAAAATAGACAATATTAGCCCTTTTTTCTTCTGCAAATATATAAAATGAAAACAGAACAGAAACTAGCAGTGCGAGATATACAGTGTTATTAAAATGATTGTGTTTATGCCTGGGTTTGTGTTACCTAGCCATTTGGAGAACAACTTTAGAGCTAATACCAAGCTATGCCATATACAAATTATCATTGCTAAATCGTAGTTATAACGTACATTACATCTTGATTTTTCTGCTAGAAACTCTATTTAAAGTAGTTAAAATTGCAAAGCTATAAATGTGGCACTCTTAATATATTATTATTTTCAATGCTAAAAAGTAACATTTGTATGCAATTAACACAAAATGCATTGGAAAATTTCTCTCTCCACCCCCCTCCTATTTCTCCACTAAGGAAAAAAAAAAGCATCTTTGTTATTTATATGCAGGATAAATTGTATTAGTTTCTTTAGAGAGAGAATGCAAAAAAGCTTTTGTTAAGTTTTTATTGTAGTAAAAAGATTAATCAAAGAAGAGATAGCAAAACATCCCCACAGCCACCTGTATGTTGTAACCACCTACTGCCTTTTGCTCGCGTCTGTGTCCCCACATTTTTCCTTTCTCGTCCAGGGGCTTCTCTGACTGGTGATAGCAGAGCATGTGGGATTCCATTCAGCACTAAGAAATTCACAACTCACAAGCACTGGGCAATGAATATCATGTAAGTTTCCCTCTCGCCACTGTGGAGGATAAGGACTCAAGGTTAAATTTTTTTTTTTTTAATCTATCAGGCAGATATTTTCTGAGACACCATTCTAAGACTCCACAGACAGTCCCAGGGAAATGGAGTTACTTCTAACAGTGGCAAATATTTATTCTCATATTAATTTTCCTTTCTTCCCTTTTCTGGAACTTCATTTCTGCTTCCTGGATTACTTCTCCAATAAATTACCTGCACAGATGCTTTTATCCTGGT